TAATAATCTTTCTGTGTGCAAAACTTTGATAATGTGAAACGCTTCAAACAGAGCGGCACAAAGCTCTTATGCACATCTAGGGTGCAGACTGATGTGCTTGAAGCAACATAAGTCACAGCGCGCTGCACTCCACATGGTACAAATAAAGAGAAGAGAAATGAAAGAGCAATGAACTTCAACAATATGTCATTTTATGCGAATCCCCAGACCTTTATCAACACCAAGTATTATAATGGGTCAAATATATCATCTTGGAGAGAGAGTTTTACCTTGCTAACTGTCATAACTGAACATGACGTGCTGTTTGAATGCTGAGCGGAGAATGACTGACAGCTGCAGCAGAAGGAAGATGAGTTTATGTAAACTTAAATTTAACACTGTAAATACAATTCCATCCCTCACATTAAGATATGGAATGGCTTCAGATGATATAGGCTATACAGTGCATGAAAAGCAAACTGGTGCTCTTCTGTTTCTTTTGTTGTATGACTCCCTCTTGTGCCGTATAAAAAGCACAATAATCGCGGTGTTTGAGACAAATAATCGCGATTAGACGGTTATTTAATTATCGCGACAGGCCTAGTGGAGAAGAGCAATTAATTACACGTTTTAATATGAAGAGGTGCTCTTTGGTTTTCAACTGCAATAACAAATATTCTCACTCACAAAATCAGACACTGACTGCTGCTTTTTATATAACACATTTCCCGTTATGAATTATGATACTGCTTGGTTCGTTGGTCCATTGGGTCGGATTGCTTTCTCACCACGAGAGAACCGCTCCAGGGTCCGTTTGCAATCGGGCCGAGACCACCTCTTCAAGGAGGTCTCAGTACGCTTGTTTGGTCTGCTTTTGGTGCGCACCCGAGTGCGATTGCTGCATTCACACCTGTCCAAACAAACTGCACCAAGAGGGACAACGAACTCTAGTGCGATTCAACCGAACTAAATGAGGCAGGTGTTAAAGCACCCAAAGACTATTAAAAAATTTAAACAAATAGTAATTTTTGTCAATCAAATTCAAAATGATTAGGCCTAATGCAAGAAGTACAAAAGAGTAAAGTACAGCTAAAAAAGAAATAGGCCTAAGCGTTTACACGACAGCAGCGTTTTTGGGGCCTGAAAATTAAACTTTTGAAAATGTGTTTTTTTAAAACTATACCACTATCGTCTCTGTGTAAAGTGCAAAAATGCGAATTTGTGAAAAGGTGATGTCACGCAAATGTATTACGTGTTCACGTAGTGTTTTTTTTCACAAAGTGACATTGCCAACTACTGGCCTGGCATGAATAATACAGCGATTTAAGTCATTTTTGCGGATCCGTGTGAACAGGGATCGTTTTGACAATGTTGTTATCTGTACGTGAAAAACGAAAAGGAAAAATTTAGCTCATTGTTTTTGTGAAAACCTTAGTGCAGGGTTTTTTTTTTAGACTTCTCATGAAATTAACAGAATTTTTAAATGTATAACGTTTTCCTCCATTTGCACAAATATAACAGCGTTAATTAAAAATGTAATATTGAAAAACAAATAAAAATGTAATGAATTGAAATGCATAGTTTGAACCTTGAACCCAAATGATTTCAACTTACCAGCTCTTTTTTTTTGCAACCAAAGTGTAAATTAGAGATGCTCTCGTACTCAAATTTGGTGAGACAGAGAAATCACATCAATATTCAAAATGTGGCTCAGCTCTATTTCATTCCTATCTGTAGAGGATTAAAGACAATATTTTGAGAAATGTCTGTCAGTAGTCTCCAATGTTCTTTTGTAAGAGTGAAAAAAAAGAAAGAAGAATATTTAGTCATGAGCAGGTTTGGAGCGACAAGATGGTAAATAAATGATGACAGAATTGACATCTTTGATTGAACTATCCTTTTAAAGATGGTCTATGTAGGTTGACCGAAATGAGATGTTTTAATCTTTGGTTACTTGTCTTTTTTATCACATTTTCCATCCACATTAAAGTTGTTTTTCATACCCAGATCACGTTCCTGAGATATCAAGCTGGGCGTTGCACAAGCATCGCTCGGCTACACGTGATTTACTAAACATTGTAATCTCACGTTTATGTGAATGAAGCGTCTGCAAAATTGTCTCAAGTGTAAGCGAGCGTCTGACCCGCTTTCTCTCTTTCCTGCTTCATATTCCAATTATATAAATGCAGTTTAAAGAAGGCACGGGGTGAATAAAATTAGGTTAGATCTTATCCTCGCCCACCCTTTGGATGTGACAGCTTGCACAGAAACACCTAATGCCTTTGATATAATCAGGAAAGAATACAAGCTTCCTTGTTTTCACCAAATGTAGGTTAGTATACATGTAAGGAGACGCGGCCATATAATCCAGGCATGTATGCTGGAAAGTGGGAGGGTTCGGGGGAAACATCTGGTGCTTTTGTGGGGGAGCCTCACGTGCCTCACCTGCCGGGCTGAGCTTACCTGCCACCAGGGTGACTGTGGGATTAGAACCCGCAAGACCCAGTTTTCCCTTGACTTTCCCATAATGCTCAGCTCCTCGAACGCACATGCACACGCCTGACAAGGATCAGCCCCAGCGAGGTGGAAAGGCAGGGGCTGGAGGAGCATATATAAAGATGTCTCACCGTGTTGACTTGTGTCTTTCACGCAGGGCCTTGGCCAAAGCAGAAGCAGCAGATACTGACGGCGCAGATTTACCAGGGCGGATGGTGAAGACGCCCTCTCCCACAGCCATGGACGAGTCGCAAGAGGTGCCCGAGTTACCTGTGAGAACAGTGCACTTACTGACCAGTCAGGAATGAAGAAATGCTCATGTGTTGCTGACAAAAAGAATGAAATTCTTCTTTTTTGACATTGTGATATTATGTTAAAAAAGGAAAAGTGTATGTTTTCAGTGCTGTAACTGGACACTATTTCTTTTCATAATTTAAATCACTTTTTAATCATTTTGATTACTTTTATAACTTGTCACTCTGAACAATGCTGCTGTCACTGCTTGAGATGTTACGCATTATTATGTTAAATGGTATCAGCTACTGTTAATCATTCAACGCCGTGAGAGACATAACTCTTGTTTTTTTTCTGTTGTTTTGATTGAATAGACAAAGAAAGCTCGACATGATCCAGAAGTGAGTCAGGAGGGTAATTCACGGTAGGTCCATCAACGTGCATTTTATATTTTCATATATAGCTAGCTTGCATATAGGCTATAGCTTACTAGTTCAGGATTGGGCTGCTAGGATAAAGGGTGAAGATGCCATTATAAGTAGTACAGATCAAGGAACTGGATATAAGATTGTAATCTTGCTTTATTGCCGTTGTGCCCTTGAGGAAGGTGAAAAAATAAGGGGAAAGAGAAAGAACAAAGAGTGTCTTGTCAGAGTGAAGTATGATTTCCTTTTGGACAATTGCCAGTCTTCAATCACACTTTATTATATTTTAGCAGAATGTCAGGACGTTTAAAAAAAGGCATTAGAAGGGCTCCAATCACTGCGTCTTTCAGCCCCTCATGCAGAAGATCAAAGAAATTTTGAAGATGAAAATTTTCAAACGTCATCTTAAAGGCTTATCTTAAGAGCTGGGTTGAAAATATTGATTTCCAGATTTCAATCAATCTTTATTTTAACAAACCAATATCAATTCTTAAATCCCAAGATCAGTCTTGTAGTGTTTTTTTTGTCATTATTATCTTTTTTTTTTTTGTATTTAATAAAACTAAAATAAACCATTTTTGTTAATGTGCCTCCCATCCAATTGTTACTTTTGATATAAAATCGTTTTCATAAAATCTGCCTTATGAGTTGGGCTGCAGCAAACGATTATTTTGATAATCGATTAAGCCAACGTTTATTTAAACCGATTAATCGACTAATCGTCGATTATTTCGCTGATTAATCAGTAGACATTTATTGATTATTCAGCTTTTGCAATTAGTTAAAATATTGAGTTATACATATTCTAACAAATAAATTAAGGTAATCACTTCAGCTTTTGAAAGTCATATTATGTAATTACAGTTATACAATTAATTTATACAAATAAATATATTTGGCACACAAAACTCTCTTATTCATCGTTTAATTAGCTATATGAAAAAGTATACAGCGCCACACTGGTCAAACCGCGTTATTGCAGGCTCTTACATTTGGTCATATGAGATCAAAGGACTACTCGACTAATGTCGACTAATTGTTTCAGCCCTACTTATGAGCAATTTAAATTTACAATCCACTAGAGAGAAAAATTTACATGTACCACCAGAATAAATATAGAATTGAGATCTGAATTGAATCAAGAGCTAGTGAATCAGAACCTGTTTTATATTTCAGATGTGTTGGCCATTGTGATCACTGATGATTGTTGATGTGTTATTATACTTTAAGTGAAACACAGGACAGGGTTATAAAAGTTGTTATTTTGCAGAAGTGTGGCTGGTAATGACAGCAGTGACTCCCCTAACCGGAACGAATCGACAGCTCAGTCAGAGGTCAATTCATATCCACCATCATCTGTCGCTCACTTGCACACGAGTAAGTAGCTTTCAAATTTTGTCTGAAATATTATATAATATTATAATATATTTTAAATGAATACAGTGTAGAAAACATACTCAATTAATTTTTACTGTTTTACTTAACTTGTATTACACAATTTAAATATACTTTGCAGTTATAAGTCTCTTGTTGAATTGATAGTTCCTCTGAATGAAACACTTTTTATGTTATTTTAAGTAGATATTGGATATTTTTTCAAAAGACTGTAGTGTCCCTACATGTTTTTGTGATGTGTAAACATAATGTAACCCCTCAATGTCTCCGGCAGTTCCTGGAGGTCCAGACCGGTCAAATCAAGAGTCGATATCAAGATCCCAGGGCTGTGACTCAGAAAATGCATATGACCACAATGGTAAGGCTTATTGCTGTCATGCTCGCATATATTTAAAGCGTAATACATTTGTAACAAAACATCCTACTTTTGTAAAAGCAGTGACGTGCAAAGACCTCACCACAGCCACTGAATATACCTCACAGATCTACCAAGGAAGCAAGTAAGTACTAAAAGTTGTTTTAAAACGAGCTAGTATCTTTTAAAATACAGTCGATCATGGGTCGATATAAAGGATCAATGTAAGTCGATATGGGATCTATGACCCTGTTTGCTTGTTTAATACACACTCCTGGTCTTAATGTGTATTTGCATAATACATTACACATTATGTTGTTTCAGTACATGATGTGGATTGGATTTGAACTTTATTATGTCTAATTTTATTGTATATAATAATTTGTAGTTTTATTTTATATATATATATACAAGTTACTTTAGAAGTTACTTTTTAAAGTCTAATAAATGTTCAAATTGATAGCTCTCAATAATAAATGTTGAATGGCTATAGTCAATGGTTAAATATTAGGGGGAAAAACAATTTTATAGTGACATCAGTAGCCTATTACTCAGTGATACTGACCTTCAGTTATAAAAAAATGCCATTAAACAAATATTAAAAATATGCTGTCTTTATGTTGTTTGTACATTAATTTGAAGATTGAATGTAAAATTACTGCAATATAAAAGTATATTTAAAAACTTTAATATTAGGTGGGATTAATCGCGATTAATTTCAGGAAAATGTGTGATTTAATTAGTTAATTTTTTTTAATCGATTGACAGCACTAATATATATATATATATACATGTATATGTGTGTGTGAAAATATATATATATATATATATATGAAATATTGAAAGCAAATTTTCTGCGTTAAACATATGAAAATTAGTGAGTTATGTCAATTACACTATGAAGCCAAACATTTTTTCCTTTCAAATAACATACTCTGATAAATTCATAAGACTGGAAACGCATATTAAAGAGTAGCAGTTTTGAATTCATGTTAACTTTAAGATCATACTAAATATCAAAGATAAATATCTAAATATCAAAGATCTTTCGTAGTATGGACTACACCTTTATTTGTTCAAGTCAAAGTAAATATGGCATCTTACCCAGACTAGACTAAGTCTATAGCAGTCTCCCTAAGTTCAGCGGTGTTATTGAATGTTCAGCTAGTAACTCTCCTCCATTATTCTTCAGCACCGCTGTCACTGCATATGCCAGTCAAGTGGCTTTCCCTTCCCTGGGCCAGTCGACCGTATACAGCAGCTTTCCTCAGTCTGGCCAGACGTACGGACTGCCACCATTTGGTCTGTGCTTCACCCAGTTGCCGTCTGTGCTTTAGTTCTTCTGAACACTTCACCCAAACTCATTCCACTTAACCCTCACCCTGCATTCACTCTGTACGCTGGCAGTCAGATCAGTTCATGTCTCAATGTTACATCCTGTTCTTAACCTCCCTCTAATCACCTCTTTCATCTCTGCATCCCCTCTCTCCTCCACCTTTTGCCCTCTCCCGCTCCATCTATCCATGCACGGCCTCAGGCGCCATGTGGCCGGGCTTAAAGACAGAGTCGCGGCTGCCCGAGGCGCCCTCTGTTGGTCAGACGGGGTTTCTCAGCTTCAGCTCAGCCTATACCTCAACCCAACCCAACCAGATCCACTACTCCTACCCCAGCCAAGGCAAGCCTGCTACCGCTCTCTCTCTGTGTGTCTCCACACGCTCTCTGCACCTCACAGCCTTAGCAATACGGGACCGCTGAGGAGAAAGACCTGCCAAAACCACTTCCATTAAAGGAACACTCCACTATTTTTGAAAATAGGCTAATTTTCCAACTCCCCTAGAGTTAAACAGTTGAGTTTTACAGTTTTCGAATCCATTCAGCCGATCTCCGGGTCTGGCGGTAGCACTATTAGCTGTAGCTTAGCATAGATCATTGAATCTGATTAGACCGTACCATGGGTGCAGCAGGCGCAATGATATTACGCAGCGCATGAAAATAGTCCCAGCTAGGTAACTTCCAATAAGCCTATTTTCAGGCGCTGCGTAATATCATTGCGCCTGCTGCACCCATGGTA